TAGCCCTCGTGGCTGCGTTGCGACGGCCTCACAGCTCGAATCATCGCAACGAAACCGACACTAAGTGCGTGCGAAGCACGCACGTGTGTCTAGTATATATATATATATATACACACACACACACGCATATATGTATATATAAACTCCGGAACCGTAAGCGACTGGCCTGGGCCGCTCTCCATCCTCACAACCCTGCCGTTGGAGCACACGGGTAAAACTCCGTAATCTGTTCTGGTCGCAGGATTCCACCCCTACGCCGAGAGATGAACAGGAGACGATGCCCTGGGTCAAGGCATCCTGCGTCCGCTGTGTACCACAGGGTCGGGAAAACTCCATAGCAGTATCCCCTTTTGCTAGACTCTGCTAGACTAGATACCCGGACCGGCGGTGAGGGAGATGTTGACATACAGGTTTAATCTTTCAGTTTCTGGGGTTATTGGCCAATGATCGGCCAAGGGGGGTAGTTGTTTAGGGATTTCAGGCCCCGTATCACTGTTTGGGGCTTCCATGCCGGGAAGCCTTTCACAGCCCCGATCCTTGCGTCTTGGGGGGCTAGTATAGGGTAGTATACAGTAAACCCCAAAAAGTTGGAAACCGGATTACGGACAAATAGTGCTGGGATTCCCTATACACTACTCTTAAGGATTGAGTCTATTGGGTTTCCAACTTTCGGGCTTCTACTGTAATAGGGTTCCGTTTAAGGGATCTACATAAAATCCGAGAGACAGTCCTTCTCTCCTCTTGTACGAGGATTTCTCACAGAGAGGTTCGGATCGTTCAAATCCAAGAGCTGCTGCCAAGCAAGCATGAACGACCGTACTCGTGATCAGGATAATGTCATGAATCTTTGGATCGGAGCAGGAACTGCTCATACCACAATCCTCGCACAAGGCTGCATTTAGGCTCAGAAAGGCTCGCTTTCGATCCATTGGAGGGCCTCTCGGAGTGTTCAAGCAGTTCTAGTATGGGGGCCTGGCCAGTCAGAACGGGGCTTCGGGAGGTAGGCCAAAGCCGAAATCCATATACATCGGTGTGATGTTATACTGCGCATTCAGAGCCCTAGGCCTAGGCCTTATGCACGATATCATTCCGAATGTAGGAACCTTAAGAATGCGCTGATGCTTTGATGGTGCTCCTATAGCACGACTCCTGACATTGATGGCTTCAACCGAGGGCTATCTTCATCAGGCTGCTCCATGCAGGGGGGAGATAAGAGAAGGGGCTCCCAAGACGTGAAAGCGTGCAGGGAAAGAGCCAGCCTGGTTGACAAAACTCCGCGGTCTGAGGGCTCAAGGCTTCATACGAGTGCTCCCTGAGTTTCTGCTTGCTTGTGTGGTTCAAGTGCCACCTGTCATTATGGATTTCCGTGCGAAGCTGTATCGAGTCTCCTTTCAATTCGGGCTCGTCCTTGCTAGGTAGGAGGGAAAGGTGGGAGGGAGAAATGCCCAAAACCGAACACATCCCTAACCCCTATAATATAAATCCTAAACCCGAAAAACCTTGACTTCGGGCTGATGGTTTTCGGGTTCCACAACCGCCTGAACGCTCGAGCTTTTCGAGGACGCCGCCTGCAGCAGCAAGGACAACTATCGAGGCCCAGAGTCCTGTAATAACAGCCGTATTCATAGTAGACACACTAGTAACAATAGTAGTAAGCTCTTGGTGGTACTAGTAGTAGTAGTCGTCGTGGTGGTGGTAGTAGTAGTTGTTGTTGTTGTTGTCGGTCGTCGTAGTCGCAGCAGCAGCAGCAGCAGTCGCTGTCGTCGTCGTGATAGCAATACTTGAGGTTTTTCGGGTTTAGAGTTTAAGCTTGTTGGGTTTGGGCTGTAGGGTGTTAAAGTAAGGTTACCAACACTTGTACTGCGATTTGCTTGGATACTGAAGATGGTTATGCCATATGATGGTGGAGCTCTAATGAATAGGGAGTGTCTGGAGTCATGTCTGGGTTATTTGGCTATGTTGGAAGGCAGTGTGATATTGGAGTTGAACTCAATAGGGAGTCTTTTTGGTCATTTCTGCTTTATTTGGCTATGTTGGGAAATCATCTATGTTACCAGCTGTTGGTGTCCGGTCAAGCTGCTGATGGTTATGTGGTTGCATTTCGGGAAGTCCATTACTCACCACTGGCTATGGATCGTGTGTCTGTGTATCGCCAAGCATGCAAGTGCAGTCTTGAGGGCTGAAGCTCACCTTCAAGCGATTGCGCAAGTCCTGAGGCAACAAACAGTTACCGCGGAGGGCCAGGTGGCTTTGACGGTGTATTTTGGTTGTTTCGAGCTCTGCCACTTTCCGAAAGGAGTCTCCAAAGAAGAAAGAATCTCGCTACGGTTCACCTGCTAGGATACATCAGATCATCCTACATTTAGAGCTTAGGGCCGTTTGGGGTTGAAGGTGTTGTCTTAGGTCAAAGCCCAGAAAACACGCATTCCCAAAATTCACAACATGCCTTCAGAGCCCTTTTGGGAAACAGAAACTCTCCTTACAGAACCCCTAAACCCTAAATCCTAAACCCTTGCCAGGCTTTGTCCAAGTGTGAGTGTCAAAAAACCTTAAACCCTGGCCCCAACTTTACAGAATCCTCCCGTGCCAGCCGTTTGCTCCCTTCAGGCGACAGCTTGGCTCAGAGCCAGGGCCGTTGGACGGTGCCTCCGCGGCTGCCTACTGGGGCGCGGCCCCGGGATTGGATCTCCTCAGAAGAGGGTTTTATACACATAGAGAAATATAACACAAGGTCAAACGGATAGGTTTGACATGAACGAATACAGAAATATATAACTCGATATGTATATAGATATAATACATATATATATATATATACATAGAGTTGTCTATTTGTGTATTTATACATTGATATAGTTATATATTCATTTATTTTGCATTGTTATATATCTGTATATATATATATATATATATATATTCAATTATACACGTAGAAATATGTATATGTGCATATATATATATATATTACAGATACATGCACGTTTTCTATGTTCTATTTGACATATATGCAGTGTATGATGTTTGTGTCGTAAATATTATCGAATGCTTAGGGTTCAGGAGCGTCTTTAGATGGATATCGTCGGCGCTTGTCGGTGTCTTCTCGAAATCCGGGGTTTTGGGTTTTGCCAGCAGTTGCCAATCGTGCTACTCTCGATCTGTTTAACCCTAAACCCTAAACCCTAAACCGTGATCGATCGAGCTCCCGCAGTCTCTCCCGGGTCCTAGGATGTAGGGTGTGGAAATCAGAAGTCAACCCACAGTTGATACCTATGTAGGCCTCAAGACCTGGAAGTTCTCCCTCGAGATTTGGTCATTAATTGTTTCATGTTTACTAAGACTATGCAAGCAAAAAGTATGGTATACAATAATACAACAACTACACATGTGTATATACATACATATATATATATATATACACATGTATAAAGAGATTCTGCTTCGGGTGGCTCGGCCCGGAACTGCCCAGACTCAGGCCGAGACGCACTCTCCGCCGCCCCGTACACCTCCACCAAGGCGCGTGTCAGACCCCTTGAAATTCGGAAAAGGTAGGTGTGGGTAGCTCTTTGAGTTAGGGTCCCTTCCAGGGTCCTTTTTGGATGAGGCTGCCGTACTATTTTGCGACCTAAAAACCGGATCTCCATATAGAAAACTACCCATGTATGGGTTTAGTGGAGCGGAAGGAAAGGCCGTTTGCAGCTGTGTTGTTCGGACTGTGCCCTTGTTTCTGGGGACATGGTTACAATGAGGGAAGTGCATGACCGTCGAGGTCTTCAGGGCTAGATTGGCCCACAAGGTCACCATGCTGCAGTGGCCTATAAACCAGCGTTAGAAGACGGAAACTGGTACCCCCTGTTGCTGGGCTGTGTGGCCTCTTTGCGAAGGCTGCGGAGCCGCGACAAAGATGAGGCGAGTTCAGAGGCCTTGATCTAGCCATCGGGTCTGAGAGTCTACACATATTAAGTGAGTGGGATTGGGGGTGGCGGGGGCGGCGGCGGCGAGGGTGGCAGTGGCGGTGGTTGAAGGGTCGTGACATCAATCCCGATGGTCTGGTGCTCATACAGGTGTAGACATATATCTCTCTCTCTATACATATATGTTCTGTATACATATGCAAACGAATATAGGCAGAGAGAAGGAGACGGTAGAGAGAGTGAGAGAGAGTGTGGGTGTGCATTGTCATTACGCCTGCACTGCTGTAAGCCTCGTTCTGACGTCGGCGACTACCACTCCGACGAGTTGATGTCACAGAAGTCACTACTGCGATTCTTGCTGCCACGCCTGTTGCCCTTCTACCACAACCACTACTACACTATTCTAGAGGGGGTCGTCATTCGAAAGCTGCTCCTGTTCACGACTGTGACACAGGCTCATGTTTCGTTCAGCAGATGTGTCGACGATTGTAAGGACTTTGCGTTGTTGCTTGCTCGGTAGCAACTAGCAACAAAGCAGCAGGTCTCAGACTCGAAACAGCGTCATGTCATGACCCTTCAGTCCCCGATGACTGCACATCTTAGCCGCAGAAACAGAGACAAAAGGGGCTCAGTAGCGATATAGCAGGAGCCAGGGCCCTAAGAGCATATATGACACTGCTCCTTCGAGCTCTTGGGAATGCTACAATACCTATACTCTCCACTGTAGTTCCTTTTCTTGTCCCCAAGTTCGATTTCATATCATAGCATCCTAACCACAAAGTTGGTTGACAATCACAGGGAGCTACAATGGAGACTAAAGTAGGGGCCTTCATGGTTAGAATAGGGTTTTGGGGTATATGATACTATAACTATCATCAGGAACCCCCAAATTCGTTGTCTAATTAAAAAGGCCCCTACATTAGGTAGTTGCTTCTTGCCCAGCAGGTGCGCGACTTCCGATCTCAGGGTTGCCGCCCGGCCATCCGCAACGGTCGAGGCCGTGCCACGGCGGTGGGGGCCTCAGCGCCCGAGATTCAACGGCAGAGGCTCCGGTGGGTTTAGGGATTAATGTAGGGTTTAGGGTTTAGGGTTTAGGGGTTGTGTGGGTTTAGGGATTAATGTAGGGTTTTGGGTTAGGGTTTAGGGGTTGTGTGGGTTTAGGGATTAATGTAGGGTTTTGGGTTTAGGGTTTAGGGGCTCCTTGGGGTTTAGGGATTAATGTAGGGCTTAGGGTTTAGGGGCTCCTTGGGGTTTAGGGATTAATGTAGGGTTTTGGGTTAGGGTTTAGGGGTCGTGTGGGTTTAGGGATTAATGTAGGGTTTAGGGTTTAGGGTTTAGGGGCTCCTTTGGGTTTAGGGATTAGTGTAGGGGCCTAAATAATTGCCAATGCTATTGTGGGAGTGCCTTACTATATTTATATAGCATAATGGGCCCCAAAACCTATTCTAATCATTAAGGCCCCTATAGAAGGGATCAAGGTTCATAAGGTTTCGGGTTTTTTGTTGGAGCTTTCTTGCGCAGTAGTGGGTGATGAGCTTGCACCTATACTTGTCGCTTCGATGACTCTCGCGGTTTTGAGAAGTTACCGTAGGTTACAAACTGGCCTAGCTGTGTTGGACGAACGTCTTGAAGAGCGAATGGTTTGAGCCGTCGGATCGAACGGTCTGGTGAAGGGAAGGGGAGGCGACCCACTGCATCAGGGTCAGCAATTCGCAGTGGCTGTTTGGCGAGACTTCATGTTGTCCCAAAGCTCTCCCCCTTGCATCAACATGTTGAGCTTTTGAAAGCATATGCTTTCCAACCAGGTGATACCCCCATGGCCCATGGCTTACATGATCAGCGCAATTGGCTTGTCGGGCCACTTAGTTCCGTAGTGTCACAGTTGGCAACTTGGTGCCGAGGTTTTTGTTCGTATTGTATTTGGGTTTGGGGATGGTGGGGTTTAGGATATTGCAATGTTTAACGTTTAGGCTATTGGGGTTACTGCATTGCAGTCCCTGCTCACAGTAAGAGGTAAGTCTGTGTAAGCCTGAACATGGACGCTCTGCCAGTAATCTCTTCCCCAGGCCCCGCGTGCGGCGAGCGTGGGCAACAGGTGCGCATGGGGTTCTTTTGAGGTTTAGGAGGATGTCAGCAGCTGTCAAGCAGCTCCTTGCAGCCTTCTTCCGTAGCTGTCCATATGTCGTTGGCCGATCCTTGCCGGGTTTGACTCAATGGATGTCCAAACGACGCACGGAAGCTTAACCAGGCAAGTGCAGGTAAAGGCGCCACAGGGCCTTAACTTACATGGTACCGTCTTCCTTATCACTGCCAAAATACCTCTTGGCGTAGGCAATGTTGACTATGTTAGCTGCCATGGTTGTCATAACCATGCTGGAAGTCTTGTCATCGTTACTCTTTCCCAGGCTTCAAACAGCATGGGGATATCTGACAGCATTGGAGCGTTGTTTGATCTGACAGCATTGGAGCGTTGTTTGTCAAAGCTCATAGGTGACGTTTGCACTGTCACTATCTCTATTACCATGCACAAGTGAAGCTTCGGATATGATCACCACTCGGATCGTCCTTGTTTTATTCGGGCTCTCAACACCAGTTGGCAGACCCCGGGTCTTGCGACGTGTAGTAGGCAGTTAGTTAAACATGAGTTGAGGTTAAGGTCCTGTTAAGGTGCTTCGGGTAACCCTCACACAACGCTGGCTCAGATTTCACTCGCAACATTTCCTTCGCATCGTTTCCGCTCTCGATGAAAACCCAAGCTCTCCAAAGCAGTTCCGTTGCTAGGCTATCCGAGGATATTTCAGGGTCCGTTAATTAGCAAAACCACGCAACAAAACCAGGAACGACATGGGAGGCTACGATACTTGTATGGGTATAAGCCTTAAATCCAGTCCACCCAGAACAAATGCAAAACCTAAAGCCTGAAGCCTTAAAGCCCCCTGCCTGTTGCATGTCAGGCTCGCTGCAGCATCCCCCCGACCTGAGCGCGAGGACGGGGAAGCGGGGCCTCTAAACCCTTAAAAAGATAAACCGGACACCCCTAAACTCCAGCTTAAACTAAACCCAGTTTCAGGTGACCTCGAGCCTTGTAAAATCCCTGCAGACTTGACGCGCTCAGAAAGAAGAGTTCGACTCTTCGGCTTCAGGTTGCTTTGGCCCTTCAAGACGAAAGGCTTATTACCCAAAGGGTCTAAGTACCCATATAGTAGATATTTTGGGGCCCAAAGTATCTACCATATAAGTACTTATAGACCCTTTGGGTTATGAGTCTGAAAGTTAAGCTCTCGTTTCCTTGCGCATAGGGGAGGGGGAGCGTCCGCGGGTAGCCAGAAATCAAGTAATTTATCAAGTAATGCTTCCTGGCACTGCTGGTAAAAGAAAGGTCGGCTTTTGCATGCAATCTCCCATCGAGCAACCCTCGTGCTAACCGGAACGGAAGGGGAAATCAAGGTCACCAGGTCCGAGTCAAGCTACACCCCAAAATTACACGCTGACATGCAGGCCTCTGATCTTGCGATGTAGGAGACGATGTTTACAACAAAGGCACACCCCCCGGAAGCCAGCGAATGCAGAATAGGGGTGCCTGCATCATTAAACTAGGGTTTGTGGGCACATTACAACATACGTCCCTGAGGACCAAGAGGATTCCTTGCTTATTCAAGCATCGCAAAGCATTAGAAACAGAAACAACACTATAGGTTTAGGGTTTAGGGTTTAGGGTTTTATAGACTATAAGACTCTGTCGATGATCCCTCATTCAGGATCTCCCTTGCTATGGGTTGGACGCGGAGCTGAAGGCCAAGGCATCTGGGTGAGAGGAGACCCCTTCATCAGGGCCCGAGCTAGGGTTGTGGGCATACCCGCTTTTCAGTGGTCGGTATCTACACACCCACACACACACACACATATATATATATATATATGTAGATATCAGAGCTAGCCCGTAAATTCTGGAAACTCTAATGCTACATGTTCAAAGCCCTATTGGTGACTCTGCTGAGGCAGCGGCCAAGTATAGCGCGGCAGCTGAAGAACAAGCTGCTGCGTGGATCCAGGCGGGAGCGGTCAAAGAAGCTTATAGTGTGTCTAGAGTCTAGAGTGTAGGGCTCAGGGTTTCGGATAGGACATGATAGGACCGGAATTCGATTTCCACGTGGTCCGTCCTTATGAAGCTAGTTAGTGACGAGGTTAGGAGAACTAGCTTCCTGCACAGCCCCTGCCGTGTACTGACCATGCGTACAATGTAGGTTCCTTCGCGACGGCTTTTTGCTTATGCTCTTTCGCTCAGCATCTGTTTGATTGTTTTTGTCTCGTCAAGCCGATGCTATTGAGTCAATTGTCTCAAGATCCTCTGGGTCAGCGTATATAAAGTGACTTTGCAGTTGGGCTCGAGTAGAGCCTGGAAGAGTTTGTCGTGTTGCCTTAAACCTCGCCTGACCTCGTCGAGCTCGAGTCTAGAGAGAAGTTACTGTGATATGGAAAGCACACTGTTGCGATACCCCCATCGTTGCAATTTCAATTTGTACAGGAGTTCCTCTTCACTAGAACCATTGTGCCCAGGAAGTGACAGGGCATGCCGTGGTGAATGACTTTGCCGGTTCCTTACGTCGGGAGCTTAGCATTGGTAGCAGTGCGGAGCGAGAGGAATTTTTTTATACTACGAAAAGCCTTCGAACTGTCAGAGCCTCTAGTCAAGTCAGAAGTCAGGCGCAAGTTCTAGGTGAGAGTCTATCTTGACCCTAGACCCTATAGACCCTAAACCCTAAACCCGCTGACCATCCTGCTGAGCAGATGCCAATGTGGTGTGTTTTGGTCAGGGTTGAACAGAATGGAGTTGGGGGCCACGCGTTTGTTTCTAAATTCTGCCATGCTACAAGCCCACCAACAGCAGTTCAGGGGCAAAAGTCCGTTTTTTGACACGGAGAGTCCCTGAAACAAGCGCGACGGTCTCTTCTGTGTCTAAAGGGAAGGAATTGGAATCGAAGTCGCTCCTCACTGCATGCAGGCTCGGGTGCCGTCCTTTGTGACCTTGTGAACTGCATACAGCCTGGTACCATCGCGAAGGCGTGCAGATGAGGGTGGGTGTTCTTTGAAATGCTGGAGCCCATCGTAAAGCAATGCATACACCTGCCGGTGCGTTGCCTCCCGTTCTGCTAGGTGCAAGGGGGACCTAGTGAGACAGGGCGACCCGCTGCAGTAATGGAAACTACGTGCCAGCGAGTGATATGGGACAATTACGTTTGCAAGATCATCCTAAGCAGAATTGTATAGAAATCCAAGGCAGAAGCAATGATGGTCGTAGTAGAACAGCTGGTTCAATTTGTGTGATGATGCAAATATCACTAGCAGTCACACGAACAGTGAGTACAAGTTTACCTGACAGTAAGTCAGTGCACGGTGAAGGGAAATTCCAGAAATCGGTGTGCACAGACCTTTAGTAGCATATCGAATCTTATAGATTTAACCCCTAAACCCTAAACCCCTAAACCCTAAACCTTAAACCCTAAACCCTAAACCCTTAACCCTAATTAATACGCCCAATACGACGTGTTTAAGGGCCCCGCAGACTCGACCTGCAGGTGAATTCCCCCGGAATGCCATTCAAGGAGAGCCCGGGGCCAAGAGCGGCGTTCTTGAACTTTGCAAGACAAGAACCAAAAACTGCGAGTTAGGGCTTATAGGGTTTATAGGGTTTATAGGGTTTATAAGGTTTATACGGTTTATAGGGTTTATAGGGTTTATAGGGTTTAGGGTTTAGGGGTTATGCAATTTTGCAAGAACCTATAGTCTCCATTGTAGTTCCTTTTTCTGGTTTAACCAAATATATATTGAGGATTTTAGAAGGTATCCCCAATTAGGAACTACAATGGAGACTATAGGAAGAACAACAACTCTGAGTCTGGTGCTTAGTAAGGAATGGGGGAATGGGTTATAGGGATTACTATAAGGGACTTTAAGGGACTATCATAGGGATCCATTCCCTCATTCCCTACTAAGCACCAGACAGTAGTATGGGCACTCAACAACCTCTAAGACCCCCCCCCCCCCCTCCCAGTTCAGGAGCTTCTGTTCTCCGGAGCTTGTTGCGTCCACGGATGCCTCGAACCTTGAACTTCTTACAGCTGCCACAGCAGTAACCACGGACAGGATTTGTCCTTCTTTTGTGTTGAGTGGGGGATCTGTCACAGAAGCCTCGTGGAGTTGTTGCAGACCCAACCCTCGAGCAGTGCATATAGCTTTGGAGATCAGGGCAACTTTTGAAGACACCTTCACCCGCGACCCTGTTTCGGAATAGGGCTCAGGACTGCTGCGTGCAGGGTTTAGGGCAGGAGTCCCAGTAATTTGTAACATGAGACTTCGAGTAGATAACATATATATATATATATGTATACACATACAAGTACGCCAACTGTTTACTCCATATTCGCCCGTTCTTGAACATATGTCTTAGTTTTGCAGTATGTTTCCTTCTTAAGAAGGAAGGCCTATAGTCTGTAAGACCCAATCTTCATCAAAGACGGGTCTCCCAGGGGAGAACATCAGCAATTTCCTCCGAGCTTGTCGAAACTTCGGCGTTCAGGACCCGAGCTTCCAAAGCCGTCTCGGCTGAGGGTTTCGGGTTTAGGGTTTAGGGTTTAGGTTGAGGGTTTCGGTTTGGGGGTCTCGTGGTGTGTTCCGGCAGGTCAGACTGTTGCCAAAAGGCTTGTTACTACGATGGGCGTCGGTTTTGGTCTGATTCGGTTTGGCAGCAATTCTTGCACTTGTTTGGTTATCTCGTCCCGTTCAGCCCTATGCTGTCAACACCACGAACCCTAAACTGCCGAAGGAGCTCAGGTGCCGCTGAAACTTATCACAGTCGCCCTTGCGCCAGCTCGTAAGTCGTAAGTGGTGCGATCAACACCCAAAATCCCGAATATCCTGGGTTTAGGGTTTAGGGCTCTGGACTCTTGAAAGGTCCCCTGCCCAGGGCAAGGGACGCACCCCCTGCCCTTCGCAGGAAGTTCGCCACCCAGGTCCAACATGGTCCAACATAAGAAACCTTGTGCGAAGCAGGCTAAATTATGGATTCTTTCAAGTTCCTGAGTGCTGCCATATGAGATCGCGATTCATCTGGACCCGCAGAGACCTGTTTCTGTGTCAAAGTATCTAGGAGTATGCCCTCTTTTCGACCGACGATCTCTTCGAAGAGTGCCGACCTCGACTGTCATTCTGTTGATGCCCAGGGCTGTTTCCGGTTGAAGTCTACCGCATTAAGACAGGGCTTTTGTGTCAGTAGTATTCTCGTATAGTACACCATTAGTGTTCTTCTCGTTAGTATAGTCCACTATTATGTTCAAACAGTATGATATCCCCGAAAGCCCGACTCCAGCTGTGGAGGCCCCGGTACGATGTAGAAGAAGTATCTCTCAGGTTCACCGCAGGGAAATAGGAGACTCCTCAGCATGATTCTTGGTTCCATCGTTCTGACGGCGGTTGCTTTTGAGTCGTATGGTCGTAGTCGACTAATGCGCCCATCCTTGTTTCCGAAGCCATGGGAAGCCAAGGAAAAACCTCATGTCGGTGGTGAACTGCGTCTATGCCCTGGGCCCGAGCCTCGGGTCAAGAGATACCTTTGAAGATGGCGGGTGAAGGACGTGAGAAGATGTATGGAAGATAGCGACAGCAGAAGATCGCGAAGGAGAAGCCCGCAGTTGCACTTAGAAGGACAGCTCGGGAATCAGCAGCCCCTGAGCTGCGGCCTGCAGCCTTCGCCTGTCAGATCCGATGTCCCTAAAGCCTTCAGCACAATGCAAAGGCCCCTGCAAACTCTCCCAAAGGCTCCATGTACCTTTATAGTAGATACTTAGGGCTTAAAGGGGTTCCTGTATAGGTACTTTAAGGCCTATGTATCTACTATAAAGGTACATGGAGCCTTTGGGTCTTGAATCGAAGCATTCGGTTTAGGGTTTACTTAAGGGGCCGCAGGTTTGGAACCCGAAGCCCGTGCAAACCCCAACTGCAACAAAACCCAAGCGTTCTTTCCTTCGCAGGCGGCGCAGTACAGCGATCGGTTCCTGACTTCGCAGGCTATCTTGCTGCATGTTGATTTCACAATCAAAGCTGACCATCATAGTGATTCATACTGGCTAAGATTAGCTGCAGCAATGATAGGAATCGGATCATCCCGATTGCAACGAGTAATTTGCCAGTATCACCATCAGCTGATATGGAAGATAAACCCTAAACTAAACCTTGAACCCTCTGACACATACATTGCATGCAATTCTTCGGAGTCTTGATGGCAGGATGCTGATTGCACGTTGTGGTAGAGTCCTTGTATGCAAATTCTGGTGGGTACCCCATTGATGAATCCTTACAACAACGGATCTCAGTATCTGGAACTGCCATGCGGCACCTGAGGGACCTGCAGATCACCTGTTAACACAATCGGGCCTGCCACTGCAAGGCAGCAGTAGAGTGCCCCAACGACGGCATGAGCAACAACGCCCGCAGCATGTGAAGTTGGGAGGATTTGTCGATGAACCCCTGGGGTGTCCTTCATACTTTCCCCCTTCTATTAAACGGCCTGCCCCTCCCCCCCAATAGAGACTCGGACCGCGTTATTATTATCAGGGGGTAGTTTTATCTCTTCTGTCACTTTCGAGGGGGGCGTGCTCTTGCTCTAGGTCTTGCTCCCGCGCTGGCTTTTGCTCCTGCTTCTGCTGCGTCTCTTGCCCCTGCTCCTGCTCTTTCTGTTGCTGCCGCTTTTGCTCCTGCTCTCGCTCTTACTCGCGCTCTTGCTTTTGCCTTTCTCTTGCTGATGCTCCGGCTTTTACTCTTGCTGCCGCTCTTGCTCTCGTTCTTACTGTGCTCTAAGGGTATTTGGAGCCTCGAAACCCTCCCCCTTAATTCAGGGTAGGTTTTAAAGGGCAGGGGTGATTTCGGGAGGATTGGGCCCAATGTGTTTGAAGCGATTATGGGGTATTGTATAGGGGATCTCAAACCCGTCACTTCATGCCTTTGCTCCCTAAACCCTAAACCCTAAACCCTAAACCTGCTTCTTGAATGCGACCTAATGTCGGAGGTCCCGTCTTCGGGGTTCCTGACACATCGAACACGAAGCGCGACCAGAAGCGAAACTTGGGACCCGTGTCGCAGACGGGAGGCGCCCCTGCGCGGTTAAGGAACCGCTTGCATTCTTTGTCAGAGTTGGGTAACTTTTTTGTATTGTTTATGACAACTTGAGCTCAATAATTAAGCTAGGAGTTTAGATGTTTCATACTATCGCAACCATGAACTCGTCCTGTATTGTGAAGTACAAGCTTCTAGGGTCCCTGCATGTTCCTGCTATACGGGTAGTGCTTTCGGTGACCCACCTACCATGGATGGACGGAAGCTTCTATATTGCATTCTGCCCTGGTTTGGGTTGGGACCATCTTCATTTTGCATCCGGGTTTATTTGCACTCGGTATGGCAGCTACTGCTCAGTGTCTTGGTATGCCTGCGTGTCTCTGTTTGTCTTTGTGCGTGCATGCGTGCGAGTGTATTCTGTGCATCTTTAGGTCTTTAGGTGAGGAGTGTGCTGGCAGACAAAGGACTGGACCTGCCTCAAACCCAACCATCGGCACCATCGGGCATGGAATCCCTCTGGTAAAATCCAATCGTCGAGTCCCAGAAGCAAGTCCCTAAACCCCAAACTGCCGCAAAATCATCGACCCTCAACCGCTACGGCTCTAAACCCAAAGCCCCCCAAAACCCTTTGAACCCTGAGACTCGACAGAAGCCAGGTCTCTATGGACCACTGGAGCGCTCCCATGTGGATGTTGTCTCGAACTCCAATGCACCTTTCTGCTTTAGCGGGCTTAAGGAAGAGAGTGTAGAGACTTTGTAACTTCTTGTTGTTTCGTTCGGGCGGAGTTGCGCATGGATCTATGTATCTTCAGGCACTTCGGTCAAAGTAAGGTTCTGCTGGCACACATCTCCTCTTCTCACAAATTAAACATTCGTCTGCATGTTACTCCAAGTGAGATCATCGAAGGTTGGGCGCTGCAACCTCATTGACAAAGCCTTGATATCGAGCTCCGGGTTCATACGACCTCTTCCCTTCTTCAAGATGTGTATGCGAGGTTTCTTTAAGCAGGTTTACCAAGGGGTGTTGATTTCATCCTTGATGCGGGCTCCACAAGTTATCGCAAATAGCTGATTTTCTGTGGTTTGGTCGGTGTTCCGCCATGCAAAATACCGGGCAAGGTACGTGTCGGTGGCTGCTAGAGCTCTGATCTGCGCTGGCAAGACCTTTCGATACCGTCGCGACAGATAGAACAAACTAACCAATAGTGTGTACATGCGTTTGAGTTTGCGTCGGATGTGTCCTAGCATGACAAGACCTGCCCTAATCTTAAGAACCAGGTTAACAGCATACCTCGCGTCAGTGACTGTGCATCTTCTTCAGTGACTGATCACAGACATCGCTGGTATTCTCGCTGTTTGCACTGCTGTTGCAGAATGTCGTGAACCGTCCGCTTCTTTATCTGATGACGTCGTAATCACACTACTAGTACTACGACTCCTCGCTCCTATACCACGAAATGAATGACTGCTCGGAACATGGTATTACCAGAACTCATAGTGCGACTACTGCCGCTGCTGTTACTCCCACGGTTCCTATAGCAAGGTGCTGCCACGATAACTTTAACTTTAGCGTTTTTGCCATTGCTGCTACCAGGATGGCGACGACGACTGCTCCACCACTTCTTAACCCATACTTCGCCTACTTCTCCTATTTTTCCTACAACACAACTAGTACTAGCACTCGTACTCGTATTCGTACTCGTACTAGCACTACTACTGCTACTACTACTACTACTACTACTACTACTACTATAGGACGACAACAACAACAACAACAACAACTACTAGTACTACTACTACTACTACTACTACTACTACTACTTCTACTACTACTACTACTA